ACTTAGAAAACTCTGTCTCCAGATTGTCTCTCTCTTCAGCTCCAATCAGGCATGGAAATTTCCTGACAAAATGTTCAAGTGAGTTTTAGGACTGTTCCGTCCTGGTTTTCACATCAAGTACATGGGCATGAGCAAGGCTTTTGCCTTGCAGGGGAAGCTTTTCAGAAATGCAGGTGCATGCCTCTGAAAAAAAAAGCCGAACTTCATTGAAGAAACCTTTCTCATCATCAGCTGTGATCTTGTCTTCTTCTTTCTGGATAAATAGCAAACTACTCCAAATTTTCACGAAAAATTATCATAAAAGCTTATGAACATTAGTAACATAAAAAGGGCCTTATTTCATCGGTGTATCTATTGAAGTATCTTGTGTGAAAAAATGTAGTCATTTGGATGAAAAATAAGGGAGGAGATCCAACGTAAAGTTAGAAAAATAAAGTTTTGAGAATACGGAGGAAAAAGGTTGAAAACATGAAAAACTAGAAAATTTGCCTACCTGGAGTCCTAAAACAGTCCAGCAGCATAAGAAGGACCTCCTTCCAAAGCCTCCAGCAACTCTGTCCTCTTTCTTTCAGCTTCCCTCACCTTTTCTCATTGATTTGTGACCTTATCCCTAGCAGTGCGTTCAGCGTTCCACAGGCGTTTTCTTGCACGCGATTCTTTCAGCTTCCTGGCTGGAACAGAACTGGTAACACCAAAGACAGACTTCATCTGAATGTCAAAATGGGGTCCAAAGTTGAACTCCCGTACACCAAGCAGGAGGGAAAGTTGTGCTCGAAGTTTGGAGGTGAAATGGTCCTTTGGGCAAGGAGCCCAGACTACGGAGTGAAGACACTCGTTCGCATTTTGTGTGCCACGCATTTCACACCTCTTGAGTGGATGGTCATTAGAGAGACGCTCTCATAGAGGCATTAGATACTTTTTTAGGCGGGTCTCATCAAAAGTTTGACAAGATTCACGTGTGGTCCAGGTGGTTTGTGCTGAGCGTGAGCTGAATTATAAAAGCACCAGGATCTAGCACCTGGCGGACAGAATTGGTGTTGAGGATTATAATCCGTTGAAAACCCATGGTAAATGGAAGCCATTATGGCCTTTTTCATGTCAGCTGCTGTTTTGTTTCCGCGGACAGAATTGGTGTTGAGGATTATAATCCGTTGAAAACCCATGGAAGCCATTGTGGCCTTTTTCATGTCAGCTGGTGGGTGCTGTGGTGTTGAATGCTCCTTCTTTCCGGTCAAACATCTATCACTATCATCTTATCTCTCCTCATTTTTATTTTCTTTGTATGTCACTCTCCAGCAACACTTTTTATCTTTGACGCTCATATGACCTTTTTGTGTTGCAAGTGCCTTAAAACTCTTACTACTAAAACTATGTTTGGCTGTGGCTGTGTTGCCACCAGTCTTTGGCTTCCCTGTTCCCGTGGTCAGCAAGCCTGAGTGACCGATGAACCGTGTGGCCAGAAGAAGATATCACTGACTACTACGACACCATCAGCTGGGAAGGGTGCTGGTATCATTCTTTGATTCGTTTTACGCATGATAGTTTTTTTTAGCTTTGCTCCCCCTGTTCTTTGGTTTTTAATTTTTGAAGATAAGTTGGAATGTTCACTGAAATCTTTGCTTTGACTTTGAGTATTCTCTGAAATCTTTGCTTTGAGTAGATCTCTAAAGTTTTTATTTTTGAGTAGATCTCGAAAGTCTTTACTTTGAGTAATTGCAATGGTCAGCAAGAATATTGTTACTTTTGTGTATCTGTTGAAGATTTTTATTTCTAGTTGATCTTGGGGTATCTTCTGATGTACCTCCCATGTTCCTGGGATTGGAAGGGAAGCATGCTGTGTCTTTCCAATTTGAAACTGTAAGGATTTGATATGCGTTGCAACGCCGTAAGGTTATTCAAGAGGCAGGACCTCTGAATTTAAACGTCCGTCTCTGAATGGACCTAGCCAAACGGTAACATTTGTAGATAAGATATGATAACATTGATCCATGTTGAAATAATTATGCTGGTATATATTATATGTTTAATCTTCAGGATTTGTTTCTCATTTCCTGTGAGACAGTGTGTGTATGTGGATGTGTATGCATGTTGAGGCCTCAGAACTATTTTGTCCAAAGTGTACTGAAGTAGAGAAGACACAATAGTTCTGAGGTGATAATGTGTGTATGTGTCTGTGTGTGTGAGCATGCATACGTGCGTGCATGGGCGAAAGTCATACAGCATGGATGTCAGTTTGGTATTTATATCACATTTGAGTCTACAGAAATGCCTGTTTTGTGTACATGGAATGTAATGTTTGACATTGAAGGATTCTATGTTCATGACGATATGTGGAAAATGGAAATAAAAGTATGAAAATAACAGTGTTGTGACTACTGGTTTTGTAAGTTCTTCTGATGGATACATTTGTTATGTTTTGAAACACCAGAGAGGTATACAGTGGCGTCCGCTTGAACAGAAATCTGCCAGACTGGGCTTTTCTTTGGTCTACAGAAAATGCTCGAATAGAAGAAAAAAAATCAGGGATTTAATTTTTTTTCGGTGTACTACAGTTGACAAGTTAAGCGTGTTTGAGTTTGGTTTAAACGGACTCCAGTGTAACTCACTTTTAGAAAAGTTACTGAAGCAGAAGGGAAAGAACTCAGACTGATGTCTGTGGTGTAGTGGTTAGATGCTTTGCTTTCACACCCAGGAGATCCCAGATTGATTCCCATATATAGTAGGGATAGGGAGAATTTTTAGAGTATTTCTGTCTTTCTGCTGGGATGTTGGATCCGTCTCAGCCCGGGTTGGCCCTGATAGACAGGGTTGAAGTCTGCCTCCTGAATGATCCTAATTGTGTCCATGTGGGCATAAAGTACATCTGTGTGTAGCAGTCCACAGACCCAGGTGTGGTATATTTACAGACTAGCCAATCGTTGTCATGTGTGACACGGGACAGGTTCCAGCTGGAGGTCGGAACACGCGCAGAAAGTCTGTCTGTACAGGGAGGTAATCACGTTTGAATATTAAAGTTAAAGGCTATTTGTCGGGATAACATCCCTTTCTCGGCTTCATGCCTGGGGGGAAATTTATGAACTTGAATTTCTAGAATGTGCCCTCTGACGCATTTATCAATGACAAAAACTATCTTTCATGTAGCGCATAGCCTTTATGTAGCACACAGCCTTCATGTAACACATAGCCTTCATGTAGCACATAGCCTTCATGTAGCACTTGCACATAGCCTTCATGTAGCACATAGCCTTCGTGTAGCACATAGCCTTCATGTAGCACATAGCCACATTCTGCAGCATGATCTTTGCGCTGTACTACCCCAGTGAACCCTAGAGTAGAATTCTCCGAAACATTCTTGGCTTCCCGGGAAGCATACAGTGTAAGCTGCTGATGATACAGCACTCAAACCCTGACAAGATCTTTGGCTGTTTATACATGTATCTGGGCACCCATTCCCATCTGAGTGAAGCGAGGAAAAGTCGCATAAAGTGAAAAGTGCCTTTCCCAAGGACATAGCGTCCAGACCGTGATGGGGTTCGAACCCACGACTTCGGTTGTGAGAGCAACAGCTTACATGTATTTTAAAAATGTATTTTCAATTCACTCTTGTTCTGTAGAGCGCACCACTCCAGCCAATTAAAGGGTAGTCCCTCTCCCTCCCCTCCTCTCTCTCTCTCTCTCTCTCTCTCTCTCTCTCTCTCTCTCTCTCTCTCTC